CCCATGTCCTTTTTAACATTTAAATATCTTAAATACCTTAACATTCTATCTTCTAACCTCTATATTCTCCACTTTTTAAGTTTTAATTATTACTACTAAACAACATGTTGGAAGAACAAAAAAAAATAAAAAGAAATGGTCTTGCCTTTTCATCTACCAAAGCATGAATTAATCTTTTTAATATTAATAATTAATAATTAACATACTAGAAAGTATTGAACAATTACTTTAATTAAACCCTAAGAGAAAGCTAGCATATATGGACAAAATGTTAGTTATTAATTTATTATTACTGCTGCTGTAGCTTGGATATTACCTTGTGAATGGTAAGGTGGTAGAACAGCTCTGTAATAAATTTGCCTTTTTTCCAACCCTTAAAATAAAATCCATTGATTATAAAATTTTGGCAAATAGAAGGAAAAAAACTCTAATTACTAACTTAGAGGCATTATCCAACCAAAATGATTTCTTGCAGGGACGGAGCCAGGGGTGCAAGGGGGGGCGGTCGCCTCCCCTAGACTTTTGAAAAAAAATTAAATAGGTCCTTTATTTAAAAAAAAAATCAAATAAACCCTTTTTAAAAAATAAAAATGATGTGTTCTAACTTTTATTTGTTTATAGATCTTATAATAAATTACTAACACTTGACAAGTAAAATACATTTAATTAAATATTTTTATTTATTTGACATATTTGTCATTATAATATATGTATAGTTAATGATTATTTGTATCAAATAATAAAATAAAATTATCTTGAAATTAATATTAGCAATTCTTTAGAACATGTAGTTTTACTATCTGGATCATATTGAATAATATCTTATGATAAAAGTTGTGCTTCAGATTAAAATTTAGATACACATAAATTCTAACAAGTTTTTTATTATTTAAAATCTTTAAAATTTTAATTTTTGTATATTTAAGTCTTAATCTTATTTATAAATTAAAGTCAAAATATTCATTTTTAACATATACATTTCAAATAACATTTTGCCCCCCCTAAGGTTATTTCCTGGCTCCGTTCCTGATTTCTTGATCACTTTAACTTGCAGTCGCAGGGGGAAGGGGGGCGGGGGGTGTAAAACTTTCATCCCTTACATTGTGTGATATATTTCTTCTTTATAACATTTCTGATTGCTTTGGCAGTTTCTTCGGCCAGGGCACTGATCTTGAGAAAGCTCCTCCTAGCCAGTTGACAATAGTGTCAGTTCAGGCTGTTGGAGGAATTATTGCTGGTGCGACTGCTTCCTGCGTCACAACCCCATTGGACACTGTTAAGACCCGCTTACTGGTAATCTTATGACTATATTGCATCAAACTATCTTCCTCTTTCTATGGTTCTCCTTTCAGTATCTCTGACTGCTGTATATTATATATGCTGTTAATACGTTGTGATTAGAACCCTTCTATAGCTTAACTTGGAGGGAACTGCTTACTAAACATGTGTCACTGAGTGTGATAATTCAGTCTAATTTTAATTAATTGCCAAGATCTTTTTTTTTTTTTGCCAAAAAAGTACTAGTTAATTTTGTAATTATTTTGAGTATTGTACGCTGCTTGTCCCATTTAATCTGTGAGAATGGTTAAGTTGAGAGGTTTTTGCATGGATATATGTGTTGTGACTATGCATGTCATTTCTTTCCATTTGTGTGTGTGCGTGTGAGTTAAGAAAAACTGTGAGGGCTAGTTGTCTCTACTTGAGCAGTTGGACGTTTATCTCTATGATCTGAATATTCATCTTTCATTTTGTGATAATAGTTGTTTTTCCATTCTAGGTGATGGGGCATGAAAAACGACCCTCTACAATGCAAGTAGTAAAAACCCTAATTGCAGATAATGGTTGGAAAGGTTTATACAGAGGGTTAGGTCCAAGATTTTTCAGCATGTCAGCATGGGGAACGTCAATGATATTAGCCTATGAATATTTGAGTAAGGATACTTTCCTATCATTATCACTTATAATTTTGTCTATTTTTATTGTAAATGATGAGAGAGACAAAGCTATAATGACATTTAATTTATTCAGGTTAATGCTTGACCATTGTACAAGCAGCAGTGTTCCATACATTTTCCAAAACTATTACAACTATTGCTAGCCTACTAGTGACTAGTCTACACAATAATTCATGATAAGACTTAAAAAGTAGAGATGAGAGAGAAAGGTAGAGAGAGAGAGAGAAACCAAGGACTAAGGACTCAAGACAGGAGGATAGCACAAAGTAAGAGTAGGTTTAGAAGCTAGGGATGAGGAGGGTTTACACATGGAAATCGGACTGTAGAAGGACAAGGGAAGAGAGACGAGGGAGCAAGAGTTTTTGATCCCAAGGTGTATAATCAAGCCACTGCATATTTTTTTACAAACTTTTCTGCAGAATGGACTTTTGAACATATGTGGAGAACATTCAAGAAGTTTGGTAGAGTTTTAGACATTTATTATCTGAACAGAAAAGGAAAAGATGGCAGAAGGTTCGGCTTTGTTAGATTTCAGGGAGTTGCAGATGAAATAGCACTAGAGAGTCAATTAGATATGATTGTCGTTGATGGACTGAAGTTAAGAGTAAACCGGCGAAGATTCAGCAAAAGCAGGAGAAACATGCCACTCGAAATTGAGAAAAAAACAACCATCATACGAAATGAAAGGGATAGAAGAAGCTTCACAGAAGTGGTTGGAGGAGCGTCGATCCCAGGGGAGAAAGAGAGCACAAGGGGTGGACCTTCTACGGTAGGGAAAATGGGTAAGAGAGAATGGAAAGCCAAACAGGATGGAAAAGGCTGGTCTGGATTGGAATTTGTTGTGGAAGAGGAAGAGTATACATGGCTGAAAGGGTGTTACGTAGGAGAAGTCCACGCGGTGGAAATGGTGCTGCTACTTCAAGAGAAATTATTGATGGAAGGCATTCCTTAGATTATAACTCATGCAATGGGTGGCAAGCTTGTATTGATAAATGCTGATGACAAGGAAGAACTCAAGAATCTTGTGGAAACAGGGAAGGATTGGCTCGGACAGTGGTTTGCCGAGATTAAAGAATGGGCACCAACAATAATTGCATCGGAAAGATTTGTTTGGCTGAAGATCCAGGGTGTTCCGCCGCACAGCTGGAATTCAAAATTTTTTGCAACAATTACAACAATGTGGGGAAAGTTAATATCTTTGGATGATAGCACAAGGCTTAAAAAACGTTTTGACATAGCTAGAGCTCTTATCTCCATTCCAGCAATAAAAGCTATCTCAAAATCCTTCAAAATCAAAATTAATGAGGATATGTTTTAGATCAAAGTAGCTGAGGAAGAGACAAAAAATGGTTTGTTCCCTCTGAAATTAGATTTTCAGCGTGCTTATCCACAAGTGAACCCAAATGAAGACGAAGATGCATGGTCCTGGGATAGTGAACTGGGAGAGTTACAAAGGGATGAATGCTTTCAAATCCAAGAAGACGTTGGCAAAGATGTTGATGAGACGACCTGCAGGAACTCGGTGAAGGAAAAACTGTTTGCTTTTCAAAATTTTGAAAATTTTCAAAAAAGAGGTGACGTCGAGGAGAAGGAAGCAAGCATTAATGAAGGAGGCGACGGATCTAGATTACTACAAGAAATAGAAGGAAGGGAAGGGTTAATGGAGATGGTTGGTGACAGTCTACATGCGGCGCAAGAAAAACAAAGCCATAAATGTGTGATGTTTTGCAAGGAAGTTAGTGTAGCTAAAAAAGAAAGCATGGTAGGGGAGATCTATGGAGGTTCAAATGGTAGTTTTGGGATGGGTGTTGTGGCACAAATGGGTTTTAATAAAAAGGAGAAGGACGTAGAGACAAATAGGAAGATGGGCCAGCCCAAGGAAATCAGAGAATGGTAGCAGAAACAGATTTGGGACAATGTAAAGATAACCCATTGGACTGTTCTTCTTCGACTAATGGGCATATGAAGGAAAATAAGGAGGGCCCAATGGAGGACACAAATTTACAGAAAACTCTAGCAGAAACACAAGAGCAGTTAAAGCCCAACAGGGCCATGGAGAGTGACGATGGGCAAACTGAGGAACAAAGGGGAAGAAGGGAGAAAGAAAGTAGAAATGGGAAGAGGAGAGTAAAATCGTGTGCTGAAGTATATGATAGATCTACCCCAATTGGAGACTACTCAACCACATTGAAAAGGAGAGGAAGCAAGCAAATGAGGAAGAAATACAAGGAATAGCAGGTCTGTTTTGAGCCAAACTTAGAAAAGGAGGTTGCAGATGATTCCATTGAGGACAGTGGGATCAGAAACTGCAATAGAAAAGGAGGACATAAGGAGGACTTCAGGTGCGCAAAAGAAATGTGGCTATTGGTGAAGGAATTAGGTGTCAAGACAAAGGGAGATGAGGAAGGTTTGGTGCGGAGGATTGCAAGATTAGAAGAAATGGATAAAGCAAGGAGGAAAAAGACCCCAAAACAGAAGGCTTTATTAGGTAAGCAGGTGGACCCTATTCCTCCATGATTATGCTTACTTTTAATATTAGAGGATTGGGGGGTTTAGGGAAAAGAAGGAGATTAGGAAATTGGTTTAAAAGACAGAATGTGTAGATGGTAGATTGTGTCGGGCTATTTGGGGCTTGGATGACTTTGATTGGGTGGCTACACCTTCATGTGGGTTAGTTGGGGGATTATTGTGCATATGGAGACCTGCAATTTTTGAAAAAACTTCATCTTTTGAAAGATCACATTATCTTGGTGTTCATGGTTTATGGGGAGAAAATAAAATACTAGTCTTAATCATAAATGTCTACGGACCCTGTGATTTAGCAACTAAGAAGGTCTTATGGGGAGAGTTAAGGGATTTGATTGCCAATGCAGGGGACAAATGGTGCGTAGTTAGGGACTTCAACGCTGTAAAATCAACACAAGAAAGAACGGGTGGAAAGAGTTCAAATAGTGAAATAAGGAACTTTGAGGCTTTCATAGAGGAAACTGGTTTGGTGGATATACCGATGTATGGTAGACGATATACATGTTATCACTCAAGTAGCACATCGATGAGTCGGTTGGATCAGTTTCTCCTTTCAGAAAAGTGGTTATAGGAATGGGAACAATTGAAGCAATGGGGATTGACAAGATCTGTTTTCGATCATTGTCTGGTTGTCTTAAAGACTCTTGAAAGGGATTGGGGCCCAAAACCTTTTAAGTTTTTTGACACATAGTGGCAGACTTCGAGGTTTACAGAACTATTAATTGAGCAATGGAAGTCCTTTGAAGTGACAGGATGGAAAGGATTCTGCTTAAAGGAGAAACTGAAGAAGCTCAAAGGATTCTTAAAAGGATGGAGTAAAGAGTAGATGGGGGACTTAGAATCTAAGATAGAGGACGCAAAAAAGAAGGTGGCAAAACTAGATATAAGGGCAGAATCCCATTCACTATCTACGAATGAAGACAAAATGAGAAAAGCTTGCCATGAGGAATTATGGAAGAATCTCAGGCTACAAGAGATTATGTGGAAACAAAAAGCAAGGAAATAGTGGGTAAAGGAGGGTGATGCCAACACTAAATTCTTCCACAGATGCGTTAAAGGGAGAAGAAGAAATGAAATTAATAGTATACAAATCAAAGGGAGACGTTTCAAAGATGTAAATGGAATAAAAAACATAATAGTGGAGTTTTATGAGGAGCTGTTCTCTGAGGAAGATTGGATTCGACCCACCTTAAATGGAGTGCACCTTAGAAGAATTTCACAAGCTCAATGTGAGGCTCTCATAGCTCCATTTACAGAAGACGAAATAAGAGCTACTATTTGGGATTGTGAAAGTTCTAAAGCACCAGGACCAACTGGCCCTAACTTTGTTTTCTAGAAGAGAATGTGGGAGACTTTGAAAGAGGATGTAATGGGGTATTTCTCAGAATTCCACAATGCAGGGAGAATTGTGAAGGGAGCTAACACCTCGTTTTTGGCTTTGATTCCTAAAGTCGACAACCCACAGAAGATTGAAGAGTACAGACCCATTTCACTAATAAACTCAATGTACAAGATGCTTTCTAAAGTTCTAGAAAATAGGTTAAAGACAGTGATGGATGATTTAATTGGTGAACAACAATCAGTGTTTGTGGGAGGCAAACAACTAGTTGATTGCATGATGGTGGCAAATGAAGTGTTGGATGAGGCAAGAAATAAAATGATAAAAGGCTTTTGCTTTAAAGTGGACTTTGAGAAAGCATATGATAGAGTCAGTTGGGCTTTTCTGGACTACATGTTGAAGAGAATGGGTTTTAACCATGTGTGGTGTCAGTGGATGAAAGAGTGCATGCATTCATCGAGTATATCAGTATTGGTGAACGGAGGCACAACAAAGCAATTTCACCCTCAAAAGGATTGAGGTAAGGAGATCCCCTATCCCAATTTTTATTCTTGCTAATTGCCGAAGGCCTAAATGGCCTCATTTCATCAGCTAAGGAGAAGGGGTTGCTCAAAGGATTGAAGATTGGAAATGGAGGAATCGAAATCACTCACCTCCAATTTGCCAATGATATGATCATGTTTGGAAGGGCAGAGGGTAGTAATATATGGATAGTAAAGTGCATAATGAGAGTGTTTGAACTTGTTTCCGGGTTGAAAATAAATTTTGACAAAAGCCTACTATATGGATTGAATGTGGAAGAGGAATGGCTGGAGAAAACAGCTTGGAGTCTTAACTGTAGAAGAGGTCCTTTACCATTTAAATACCTCGGGATTCCAATTGGGGGTAATCACTGAAGGCTCGCATTTTGGAGGCCATTGATTCAGGGTTTTAAAAATAGATTGGCATTTTGGAAGGCAAACTACTATCCCTTGATGGAAGAATCAGTCTTGTTAACTCTGTGTTGTCCAGCCTACCGGTGTTCTTTATGTTTTTCTTTTTGGTTCCAAAAGGAGTGATTAATGAACTTGAAAAAATACGAAGGGATTTTCTTTGGGGAAAGAAGGAGGGAAGGGGAGGAATTAGCTAGGTTAAGTGGGATAGTGTGCAAACCTAAGGAAGAGGGTGGATTAAGAGTTAGAGACCTTAGAACTTCCAATATAGCTATATTAGGAAAGTGGTGGGGTAGGATGGCAGTAAAGGAAAGGGTCCTATGGAAAAGAGTGCTGAATACAAAATACGGGGTTGAAGAAGGAAGGTGGCTGGAATGGGTGAGGGGTGAGATTAAGGGGAGCTCATATTGGTGGAGGGACTTATGTAGAATAAATTCTATTTTACCAAATAGAGAGAATTGGTTAGGAGTGGGCTTCAACATTAATTTAGGGGATGGAGGGGGTATTAAATTTTGGAAAGATGTATGGCTAGGAGAGGTGAACTTAGCTACCCATTTCCCTAGACTTTTTCTCTTGTCTACAGGAAAAGATAACAAAATCCAACAGATGGGGGAGTGGCATAACAACATGTGGCAATGGAAGTTGACGTGGAGACAAAGTATGCACGGGTGGGAAGAAGAAAAGTTGCAAGAGCTCTCTAACTTGATGCTTAATGTCACGTTAGACAAGGGGCAACAGGATGCATGGTGTTGGAGGCATACCAAGGAGGGAATTTACACAGCAAAGTTGGGATACTTGTTGCTAAGAGATCAACAAGGAGGGGATGATACAAAATTATTCAGAAAAGTGTGGAACAAATACATTCCAAATAAGATATGTGCTTTTAATTGGATGATACTACTGAATAGAATACCAACTAAAACAAACTTGCGGACAAGGGGTATTTTAAAGGATGATACAACAACCTTGTGTGGCTTCTGCGAAGTGGCACTGGAAGATACGAACCACTTGTTCTTGGAATGTCCCTTTGTAGTAAAATTGTGGTGGAAATGTCAAGAATGGTGGGGACTAAGTTGCATGAGTTATAATGAAAGCATGAAGGCCTTTGTTCAGCATGTCTTCTATTCAAAAAACAAATGGGTTAGGCAGGGCTGGGAAACCATTTGGTTTGGCCTCACATGGACTTTATGGTTAGCAAGAAATGAACAAATTTTTAGAAAAACAGAAAGCTCTGTCGAAAGGTTGTTTGACCTTGTAAAGATTTGAACATTCTTTTGGATCAGTGGAAGGGTGGCTGGATCGCTGTTTTCTAGTGTGGATTGGATACAAAGCCCGGTGTTGTGCTTGAAGTCAATACAAGGTGGGTTGAAGAGGAAGTGAAGAGCTTATAGTGTCGACACATAATTTTGGTATCGACACTAAACGAGAGGGCTAAGCATCCAGAATCCCAACACGGACGTGGTGTTGACACATAATTTTGGTGTCGACACCAAACGGAAGGGCGGAGCATCTAGAACCCAACAAGGACGTGGTGTTGACACATAAATTTGGTATCAACACCAAGCGGCAAGGATATTCAACTATGTAATCTATGCCTTTTAAGTTGGGATGTTTATAGGTTTGAGGTACCATTTGTACTCATTTTTTCAATAAATATTACTTTTGCTGTTCAAAAAAAAAAAAAAACTAGTGACAAGTCTACTACCGCTCATTTTTTCTTTGACCAGTTAGCTTGTGATGATGGCATTGTTTCTAGATTATGGCAATCCATGTTTCTAGCATCAATGGTTTTATTTGTTTTGATTCACTGGTCCATTGTTACTCTTTAACTCTCTTTCTAGTCTTGTTAGTTGAGACAGCATCATCTGTAACTGCTGAATCTCAAAATTCACTTAATGCTACTATAGACTGAAAAGTAAAGGTGCATTATATTCTGGCCATGCTGGTTGTTAAGTGGCTACTAAAACATGTATGCTGTGGAGACTGATAATTAGGATTGGCTGCATAAGCTATCTGACTTGATAGGGGCTAGAAGTATTTTGTTGACATATGAAGGTTTTATAGGTTACTTTTAGATACTTCATAGAAAGTAGTACAAAGCTACAAATAATGTTCTTGTCAAGGCATTGTGAACTTATATGTCGGAATGAAAATTGTGCAAATGGTGTTCCAATCAGGCATTCTGAATGATAATGAAAATCTAGGATGTTTTATGTAGCATTTTAGCATTTAAATAGGAAAGAATTGATAAGCCTTTGTGTAAGTATCACTATTCTTAATATAGTGGTTGGTGAAACACATCCTACCATCCCCTCTCACCCCTCTTATTATACTTTTCAACCAATGAAAAATAGTTTAGCTTCCTATAATCTAGTTTGTGCCTTCCTATAATCTAGTTTGTGCCTGAGAAGTTAAGGTGCAAATTTTTTATATTTTGACTATGGACATTTAACTTTTGGTTAAACCCCCATTTTGGTCCCTCAACTATCGTACGGACCCCCGACTTAGTCCCTCAACTCAAAAAATCCCTGACTTGGTCCCTACTGTTTACCATTTTTACCCCAATTTAGTCCTTCCGTTAAAAATCCAATGACGTGTCTGGTTAATTAACTGAAGCATGATGATGTGTCAAAATAGAATGACACCTCATATGCACACCTGTAAAAAAAATGACATGGCAGTATCATTCAGATCCAAAATCAAAAAAAACAAAAGTGGGCCCCACCTCCTGCAAATCTTGAAACTCTTCTCCCCCGTTCTTCCCATTCCTCAGTTCCCAGTTCCTCATCTTGCCTAGCCTGCTTCATCAATCAATTCTTCATCTTCATCTTCATCGATCAATTCTTCATCAAACAACAAAATCCACAAAAACACACACATATATATATTTTTTCATCAAACATCACCTTCTCCTTCCTCATCCAACATCAAACATCAATTCTTCAAAGGAACCCAGGTGCTGGGTTCAATCGAACCCAACAGGCACCCTTTCTCCTTCTTCTTCCTTACCTTACCTTCTCCGTCAATCAATTCTTCTCATCATCAACACAAAACCAAAACCAAAACCAAAAAACAAAAAACAGAAATTTTTTTAGTTTTTGCCCCTGGGTTCCAAGGAACCCAGCGCCGGGTTCGTAAGAACCCAGGCCTGGGTTCCTTTGAACCCGACGCTTGGGTTCCTCGGAACCCAGGCGTGGGTTCCTTCGAACCCGGCGCCGGGTTC